TAAGCCACTGAGTCATTATTTGGGTCCTTCCTCACTGGGAATCTCTAACAGCAGAACTGTTCTGATCATCTCAGCACGTGCAATAGCACTAGGTTTTAAACTCATGACCATGTGGACTAAATAGTACAGGAGCAATACGCCTAAGGAACAATGATGAAATGACTGTTGCACTTGAATACTTCTGACCTAGTTACATGGTTTAGGGACCTCTCTCATGAGTTCTTCATTAGGATTATGTTATAGAATATGCAAGAAGGTGTTTTCAATCCATAGCCAAATTGGATTTTTAAAAATCCATAAATATAATTACTGACAATAAAAAAGCAATTTTATGAAATTCATATCACTTATGATGACAAGTAAATCCCTTTTCTGATTTCCTTACATAGAATTCCCTTCCCATTGCCTGAATATAAATACTGCTCCCAAAGAAATGTAAAAAAAAAGAGTATCCAAATATAAAACATTTCATTAATTAAGTTTGTGGTGAATGATACATTTGGTACTTAAAGCCTATAAACTAGAAAATTGGAGGGGAAAAATGCAATACTTAAACACTTTTTTCCAGTCTATGAAAAGAGATCACAGAATGAAAACCCCTCCCCCTTGATGCAATAGGAAAATCTTGCTTCAGAATACAAAACTTAAAAGACTATACCCATTTATCAAGGATTTCTCTTATTTTAAAAAAATTGCCCTGAAGTTCTTAGAGACATTTTACACTCAAATATTGATTAATTTCAAAACAACTTCTTAGAAACCAATATATTGGAAAAAATTAATTTTAATTATCTTTTAAAACACTAGCAAAATAAAGATTAAGTATTTATGGGTCTACAGTCTCTAATGCAAAAAACACTGGGATTTTCCCCCTCTGATTTGGGCTACACTTGCTATGCTCACGACTTACTCCTGGATCTCTGCTCAAGGATCACTCTTTTCAATGCTGAGGGGATCATATGCAGGGCTGGTTGGTCATGGGTTGGTCATGTGCAAGGTCACGTGCAAAGCAAGCACTCTATCTGTTGTACTATCTCTCCAGTTCTCAAAAATGTTTAATCTGACGGAAAAAAAACTTTTACAGCAAAGGAGATTTTGTTCACAAGTGTAAGCACATATGCTGAGATTCTCAAAAAGCACGAGGCCAGGTCCTTAAAACGGTTTAAGTTTTACATACATTTCCCAGTACCCAGCAATCCTTGTGTCTGAAAGGGCCCTAGTAGCTAAAGAGCTATTACCTGGTTGGTTTGGACACTCAGTTCTCATTCAGTTATTATGTGTGGCTCCAATGTTTTGTCTGATTTAAAGTAAACTCAAAAGCCCTGTGTGAACAAGCAGGTTCCCAGACACTTGGGGAGGGTTGGGACCCTTACAACATTTTTTGCCTTTAGCAAAAATGTATCTCAATATAATTGTAGCAGATAGCTTTCAATATGTCATCTCTATTACAGCAGCTGTAAATTATAACGTGAATTGCCTTTATACAAAAAATTTCTTCTGGTGAAAGTGGGAGAGCTGCAGAAGGCATATTATATCCTTTCCTTTTTAACTGAAACCAAATGTGTAAGTCAAATTTCATATGCAGAAGACAATGTGTCGGGTGGGAGGAATACTGGGATCCGTGGTGGTGGGAAATGGGCACTGGTGGAGGGATGAGTACTTGATCATTGTATAACTGAAACCCCAAGCACAAAATTTGTAAGTCTATAACTGGTGTCTCACTAATAAAAATTTTTTAAAAAAAGGCTAATGTGTCATGCGGCTGGAGAGATAGTAGGATACGAAGGCTTTGCTTGCAGTTGACCCCAGTTCAATCCTTGTCCCTGAATATGGTCCCTTCAGCACCACCAGAATGACCTCTGAGCACAGAGCTAGGGGTAGATAGCCCCGAAGTGCTGGGTACGTTCCCAGCCAAGCAAAAATTAAAAGGTGTTCATATCCCTTTGGCAGAGGAAACAATAAGGCCTTCTATTCTTAAGAACAGGAGTCACAGTTTTTAATTATGTTAAAAACTTTGTTCAAGTTCACTAGAAATTTCCCTATTCTAATAATTTTGTTTTTAACAAAAGGTATTTTGAACTGTACAGTATAAGCATTTTCCAAATTATGTTGCTGATCAATGAATCAGACAAAGCGGCAGCCAGGCTTCACTCTGAGTTAGAGTGGGTCAATCACTCAAAACAAGGTATTATAAGACAATTCCTACAAGATTTGGAAAATCATATTTCTACTGGGAATCAAAAACAACAAAGTAAAATTATCTTGCTTACTTTTGAATGATAGTAATAATAAAAAAACTCACTCTAATTTACTCTAATATAACAGTCTACATCTAATATTTAAAAAACATCTCTAAGTGAATTTAGATAGTTATCATCAAAGAATCATTACATCTGAGCCCACGTTTTTGAGACATGATCAAAAACAATTTTTTGAGGGAAAAAAAGGACAAAATTGAAAAACAATACCATTCCTAAAACATACACAAAAAACTGAGCCTTGCATGCTGGATTTCATTTTGTTCAAACAGTAGCTGTAGTCTGCTTAGCTTTGTAAATGTGGCTATGTTTATAAGGTACTTTAATTTACTGCAGTGGTGGTGTTTGTTAATTTTATGGCAATCTAAATCTAAACAGGCTTCAGATACATTTTCATTACAGTTTCATTGCAAACCACAGTAGAGTGAATAGCTCTAAGATTCCAGAGTAGTTTATTTCTTTTAGTAAAAGGCTCAACACAATTTTCTGATGAAGCCTCTGCCTTAACATATAGGTTCATCCTATTTACTAATAAGCTTTCTATCACTCAAAGTGCCCTTGTCAACTTTTAGGAGAAATAAATAAATTCCAGAAAGTGATTAAAAATTGTTTCTCCCATCTCTACTCTAATCCCATTCCAAATGCAATCCAATATGGGAAAACCAGAATGTACCTGAATTATTTTCTAATTCTATATAAGCAGCAATGTAATTTATTGGGAAAGCGGAAGCACATTATACAGAACTGATTTTATGTGCCTAATCTGACACTAATACTAGATGTGTGACACTGGACACATCACTTAATCTGAGTCTCATTTTCTCATCTGTAAAATGGAAATTATAATACCACCTACTTTAAGAACACCATATAAACATACATAAGTTCTAGGTAGTCCTTCCAGTAATTTCAAAATGTATCTCTGAAAGCTCTCTCCCACATAAACCTTTGTATCCCAAGGATTTCTTGAAAAGAAAATATGACTATACTAAGTCAAAATTCACTGGTCCTACTAACTTTGTTTTCTCATAAAACCGTGTAGATTACATATATTTATACTTTTTCTTCTAAAAGTATTAAAATGAGAAAAAATGCACATTTAATGGTAGACATTAAGCTACTAAATATATATAGAAAAATGATTCATGGAATATATAATAATGAATTTTTCAGTTTTGTATTTTAAATGTAAATATAAAATACATAATACAAATTTATGTATGAAGAGCTGTGTGTATATGTTTGGGCATTTTAGTGCAAAACAAAACCCTGAGTGATACTAAATGATACCAACTCCACCCAACTTCTATCAGATTTATTGCAAAGATAGTAAGGAATCAACTTAACTTCTCATCCAAAAAAGTCAGGTAATTGGTATCTACCATGTAAGTCTTTCTATTCAAGGTGATGGGTGGTATTTGTTTATTAAGTATATATAAATATATTCAGTATATAATATTACACAATTAAATTATACTACAAATCATAACCATTTCTGTTGTTTATGCTCAAGGCAACCTTTTCAACCGTGACATATTTATTCTCAATTACTCTTTTTCATTTTGGGCCACACCCTGCTGTGCTCAGGGTTTACTCCTGACTCTGTGCTCAGGGCTTACTTTTGGCAGTGCTCTGAGTTTGCCATATGTGGTCTCAGAGACGGAACTTGTGTTGGCTGTGTGCAAGTCAAGCGCCCTACTCTGTACTAACTCTGTGGTCAATTATAATTATTTATAACAAATAATTATCAGTATTGTGATTTTCATTTTTTTCCTCCTCCCTATCTTTCCACTTCCATTTTTAGGGGAGCATTTCAGGGCAAATCTTAGGTATTATATCTTTTTACTCATAAATGAGTCAAAAATTATAATTATAATTATAATTGATGAATTATGGCAATTTCTTCCCATAAAAACTCCTCCAACTGAGCAGACTTTCAGCCTTAAACAACTAAAGTATGTTGAATCACCATCAAGTTGCTATATTCTATTATAGGGTAGACTAGCTAATTTAACATCTCCAACATTTGAAAGCTTTACCCAAGGAATCTCATGTTATAGTTCAGTTGGATGGTATTAATTTATTTTTGGTGGTGCCTAAAACAACAGAGTTTAAGATCAAAGGTCTTTTAAATTCAAGAAAGCATGGTTAAAATAATGGCTGCAACAGCATTTTAAACCCATACACTTATTTTAAAATAGTAAATTAGCACACAATGCCCAGGATTCCTTCACTCAGGGAACCTGTGACTATCATGGGGAAGCCTTCTCAGAGAGGTGATACCAGCCTGCTTACTTTATGGTTAGCTTCCTCCCTAACAGTCTTTCAATTTCTAAGAATTTATCCCTAGACTGATTCTGGAGTTTGGTTCATACCAGGAAGTGCTCACAATGCAGTGTTTCCCTTTCAAAGTTGTATCGCTTATGAACAGAGTTTTGCAGGGGCCAAACAGTAACATTAAAGGGGAAGGACGGCTGCCAGTTTGGTAGTAAGGGGACTTGAGTGTGAAGAACGAATAAAACTAAAACAAGAAGATGGGATAAATAGGTTTAGCTTCACCTCTGAAATCTCCATGGGACCCCGTTTCCAGAATCCAACAATTCACTTGGAATCTTTGCATTGACCTTATTTATTTGGCTCTTTGTAACACCTAGCCCTCACAGCCCTGAGAATTGGTTAGCACAGTCTAACAGAAGAGCGATAGAGGGTTCGGGCAGGACTATGAGAGTGGCGGCTGCTGACCTGTTCATATTTCTCCAGTTCTGTGTGATAGATTTGTCTGATCTGGGTCAATTTGGCTCTGTAATCTGAGTGTTCAATAGAGTTATCTGAAGAACCTCCAGAGGCTGCCGCGGCTGCAGCTGCTGCCGCCGATCCCCCACCTTTCTCAGGACCTGAAACCCCTTCTGCCAAAAGCATATTGTCCAGTCTCATTAGCTGGGGATCGGGAGGGTCCTCCTCCTGGGCTCCTCTGATGCTGAGACCTTCAAGGGAAGAGAGACAGAGAGAGAAGAAGCGAGAAACAGGACAAATAGTGTGAGTATTTTGTTTATTTGAGAAAAGGATCAAACAACATCAGTGTACTACAATTCACGCTGAGAGCTTAGTTGTTTACATTTTATCAATAAGCAGCAGTATGAAATTTCTTTTCAAAGTAATAGTTACAGGCATCCTAGAATTGCTCTCCTCAGTTTATCCTGATCCTAGATCTATATTCTTAAAAGAAGCGATGGCGATGGGGGTGGGGAACGGGCGGTGTGAATGTGGCTCAATTTGGGCATATGCCTTGCATGTTCAAGGCACTGAGTTCCATCCACAAAACCAAAATGTCCCCAAGCACTGCTGTAGGGGGCCCTAGTGGCCCATGTGGCCTACTGAGGAGTGTGGCCCCTACAACAAAAGTAAATAAAAAATAAAAATAAAAAATAAAGAAGAAAAAAAGAAAAAAAGTTATCCTGGCTCCTCAGACTAGTCTAACAACCAACCTTTTCAGATGTGGATGGAAGTAAACATTTTTAAAAAGAAAAAAAAAATAATTCCAAGGATATAAACAAAACCATCCCAAAGTGGTTCTTCTCTTTATACAGTTGGAAGAACAGTATTAAAATTCTCAAACAATAATGAACAAATTATCTTCCAAAATTAGAAAGTAAACAGGATTAGATGGGCTTTTCCATCATGCAATTTCAAGGGGAGAGGAGAAATACATACATTATGTGGTAATTAGCTATGCTTAAAAGTACATATTATTAAATGAGTGCTGCTAAGTAATTACTAGCACACTCTAAAACCAGGACACTAAATACAGAATTCAAAATATACCATCCACATGGCAATACAGTCAGTTCCGGACATGGTTGTTTCAATCTAATTTTGCTTTTAAATCAAGAACTTCCTAAGTGATGCCCAGTCAGCACCCTCATCTGAGTACTATAGATCACAGCTGACAATTCATAGGTTTAATCAGGTCACACAGGCTTTCTGCCAAGATGTTTTCAACAACAGTGAAGACAAAGTTTTAAAATAATTATCATGGTATAAAAAGCACTGGAGTCATGACAGCTCAAAATCAGTATTTTCATTAACGTGTAACATAATCTAAAATATCCCAGACCAATTAACCTCTGAAAATCTGTTTCAAAGCAGGTTCCCTGCACTAGTTACAAGGCATCTTGGGGAAGGGGGGAGGCAGGAGGTTGGCATCTTGCATGTCTGCGTTTGGATGCTGCCTCTTGCATCTATGACTGTTGTTTATCCACAGTGGTGCACATTCCTGTGTTTAGTGTAACTTACATGACAGTAACATCTATAAGCTGCCAACTGAGCACCAGCTCTGAGATTTTATATGCTAACCTAAAACTACCAGCATCAATTCTTTAAAGAACAGATTTTATTCCTAGATGTCCTGAAATACACCCACAACATGACAGAGCTCTTGGTAATATCTTAACTCAAATGCACAACTTTAATTTCTTTCCCCCAAACACTTTAAAGCTGTCAGTTTCATTTAAAAATATACTTCAGAATAATTTCAACTGGGTAATAAAACTAACTCACAATCATTTAAAATTATATCTGTTGCCTGTTCAGAGGTAAATAAATGTGGCTTGAAAACTATGATATAGTAAGAGAATGAAACCATTTATAGAACCAGAAAGTTAGACAACACTTATAATAAAATCAGAACCAACACAATGCTTGATAATTAAAAGTAGATAAATTAAAGGTAGATTCTAGATTCAGAAGAAATTGCCTAATATTATTCTAGAACTTGGAAATACTGGCTACATTGGTATTTTAATTAAATATTTTATATCATCTTCCCTTCTAATTCACTTTGTTAGATGTTAAAAATCTCATTGCCTAGACATTCTCATAATTCCTCAGACCACTTGTTTAGTGCCATTGGCATGTGGTGAGGATTTGGAAATGAACTCTGATCTTACATGCCCTTTGGGCATTTACATTCTATAATATATATTTGAGAGTTGCTTACGCTTCCTCTTATTTCCGCTGTTTCATTTTTTATTTAACAGGATATTGATGTTTCTCCTAGAAATGTGTTGATCTATCTTCAAGGTTCCTCCAATTTCCTAGGTCTCCCCTGGTTACCATATACATGGAGCTTCCCTGTGTCCATCTGATGAGGTGTTGTAATAGCAAATTAACACCCCCACTGAAAATTATTACACTTCCCTGATCAAGAGAAGATGCTCAAGGACTACTACAAAAGAAAACAAATTATAAAGGAGACAGAAGAATACACAAATTCAAAAAGAAATATATAAGACACAAATAAATTAGCCATAAAATGGCATTTTTACACAAACCTAATATGTATAAGACATCACCACCATACCAATGGGAAATAATCCTTAAACTCATTAGTGAATACAAATAAAAATAATCAATAGTCTGTATTTGCAGCTGCTACAACATGTTCCTCCTGTGATGAGATATTCATCATCTCTCACTTCTAAAATCATGAACAAATCAGCACTTCAGTGTCTGCCTCAAACACAGGAAAAATGTTTTAATGCATTTTATTCTATAAATCATGTGCATCAAAACAATCAGGAAAATCATTTCCTGAGGAAAAAAATTTAAGCTTCTTTTGCTATGAAAATCCTCACGGCAGAGTGTAGCAAGCGCCCCATGGCGTATTGGATATGACAGAAACATAACAACAAGTCTCACAATAGAGACGTTACTGGTGCCCGCTTGAGCAAACTGATAAACAACGGGAGGACAGTGCTACAGTGCTATGAAAATACTAGAGCACGTTGGAATTAGTCAACACTGGTATTTTTTATCAATACTTAAATCATTTTCATAACTACAGCTGGACAAATGAATCACCTGCTTTCTCTAAGGTCACAGTTATTTAATATTATTTCAATATCTAATAATATCTAGTTTCTAAAATTATCAATTTGAATATTTCTATTTTTTCTTACTTTATATTCAAAATACCATTTTATTCCTCCTCCGACCTATTCAATCACCACTGCTTAACTGACCAATCTGCCAAAGTCACACATGGTTTCCAATCATTAATACTTACTCCTCTGGGCACCTCTAAACATTTTAATGAACATAAATCTGCAAAGGTCAGAATAAACAGAGCTGGGAGGTTATCAAAAGGTATCTTCAAAGTTGAAACTTGTGAATAGAAAATTTTTTTAAATTTGGGTATTATTTTGTTTTTAATCCAAAATGTGTACTGCAGGAACATGTAAAGACAAAAAGTTTTACATCTAGGCTCCAGGATTATTATGGCTTTGTAAAGTTTTTCTTTAAAAACAAAACACAACTCTATTTACAATCTTCTTATAACCACAACATAGAGTTCAGTATCCCTAAGATTTAGACAAATCATACAAACACAGCAAAACATTGTTTAACAATGAACTTGGCTTTGTTATAAGCCCACAGTTTTTGCATATCTTTCAGCAAATCCTAATTAGCTGTCTTTCAACATGCTGTGCACCTGCCCCATAGATAATGGGAGAGAGCATCTGCATAGACGACTGCATTCGGAGGGCAATAAATAAATTACGGGTCAAAATTATTACAAAGCTTTCTCCAAATAAATGCACACCCTTCACAATACTAAGCTGCAGATGTGAAAAGTACCTAAAGCCCACTCAAATGGTATGATTACGGGGCTGTTTGAGTTTAATAATCTGACTGTAATTCAAGCATTTTCAACAGCTCATTAAGGGTTCATTAATATATAGGCAAGCTTTTGAATTATAAATAAGCAGATTAGAAATCTGCATTGGCTAGATTGTACAGTAGCAACACTGTAACACAATGAAGGCTTGACCTGCGAGATTGAGGTGCAAACACAGGGCACTAACTAAGCTTCACTGGCTACCTCATTTCGAGTACAATCCTATTAAACCATGACTAACCTCTGTTCACCAAGGAGTTGAAGAGTGGTAGAACACAGCTACCCCAGATGTATTCTCTACACTGTCATGAATTAGGGAAAACTGAAATCTAGTCCCATATTTTCATCCGAGATACACAAGATCACAGCTATGTTCAATAAGTTATCAGTTCATTTTTATTTTGCAAAGTGTATGATTTAGACCTGCTAAGAAACAAAAAACTATTATAGAAACCTGTTTGAATTTTTCTCCTAACAAGCAGGCCATAAAACTAATCCAAAATTATTCCTAACTTTAAGTCTAAGAAGTACCTGTAATTGCGTTCCCTGATGGACTCATTCTTGATTCACTTAACTAACCCACCATAGTCACAGTTTATAGAAAAACATTTTAGCAGAATATGTCATCTTGAAAAAAACTGGATATTTTTACTAAGTCCTGAATCATCTCTGAACTCAGTGACAATGTAGTGTTTTCTGTTTTTCTTGTCATGTTCTTATGATTCTTCACAGATTTTACCTTGTATCAGTTATTCATTACATACATTGCTAGTTTTACCCCAAAACAAAAAAGGTAAAATAATCTTCCACCTGAAATTCTTAAGAAGCAGTTTAAGAAAGCGGCAGAAAACCTAGAAATGAAATGAAGGCCACAAGTCCCATGGTTATAAGATTTCATTTGAAACAATTACTTTTGGGTTGTGAAAACAAAGCAAAACATCGAGGAATCCCTCAAGGCACCATTATCTAAACCAGACTTAAGTATGAGAGTGTAGTTTGGGGTTGTTGGGCCAATAGACTGTATAACTAGAGAGACAAGCCTTGGATAGCGTATGACTGAGCTCCCCCCAAACAAAAACAAAGCAAACAAAAAACCCAACCAACTGAAAAATCTCCTCTCAATGATCTGTTCTCCTGAAGGAAGATTTGAAATATTATTTAAACTTGAATTTCAAAATTTCCTTAGGCATCAAGATTAGACCTTGCAATGAAAGGAAAGAGAGCTATTATTTTGTAGGCATCACTAGAAAGCAACTTTAAAAACAACTAATTTTAAAAATATTATGAGGAAATGACAGATGACAGAGC